CATACAATTATGATTTGAATATTTATTTAATATTATTAAAGTTCATTTATTATGATAACACTTTATATTATAATACAATTGAGATATTTAATAAACTCGATATTCATCAAACTAGATGGACGATTGAGATTGATTTATAAAATTTGTATTGAGGTGATAATTTATCACTAATATAAATTGATTATTAAATTATGCATATATTATATGGATAATTTATAACTTAAATAATCATTATTAACTAACATAAACAAAAATTATACTACCCAACAACTCCTCTAGTTCTCTCCATTTGCTTGTTTAGAAAAAAAAAATCATATTGCAGCTAAACCGTAACATTTACTGTACATACTTATTATCGATCATTTGAAAAAAATCAATAATCTATTTTTTGTTGGACGAGGGATGAAATGGGGTTGGACAGGGGATGAGCCCAACAAAAAACTGGGATCAGATTCAATTCCCCATACTAGGTGGGTATAAGGACGAGGTATGACCACAATGGTGGTACCTGATTGGTTTGAGCTTAGCTTCAAAGGTCAAAAGTACCAGGAGGTCTCAGGTTCAAATCCAAGAAGGAATAAGAATCCCCTTGTGGTCACGAATGTTCAAATGCGGTGAATCTGGACTATCTGCAAAGCAGGTGGTCACCCTGGGATTAGTCGGCTCATAACGGGTTGGATATCCAGGTTAATCAAAAAAATGATGAGGTACATGTATTGGGTCAGAGATGGGAAACTCCATTCACACAATATCACTTTGAAATGGTGGTTGTCGGTGATGGGTAGTGATGGTTAAGGGTGGTAGTGGGTGGTGACTGAGGAAGAAGGTGATGCATAACAAAGCTGCCCTTCACCTGAGGGACGACACAATATAGCTTCAATTATCAGTTGATAGACCATGGATGTTATAAAAATGAAAAATAAAAGACCACTGATATATATATATATATATATATAGGAGCGATCAAATGAAAATCACTTCAATTTGTAAAAACCGTAAAAACTACTCTCATCCATCGTTAATCTTATGAATTTTTTTCATGAA